AGCCAAGGTATGCGCATCGGTGGTGGCTGTCCTTCTTCACATTGCTCCCAATCACTGCTGTCATGGGCTCAGCTGATGGATGCATGCTTTGAAGCAGCTCTCCCAACTAGAGCCAGCTTTCTGCAGGTTTGGGTTCACTTTTATACTTGATAGACCCAATGCACCATTTGTCCTGGCCTGCAATTGTAAAGGCTAACTTACAATACTCGGAAAGGGTAGAAGTTGACCCCTGACCACACGGTTTGGGTCTCAAACCTGGGCTATCCTGGCCTCGAACTCCCGACAACAGTCTCACAGGCGCTCACGCTTTACAAGCCAGGCCCTACCAGATCTTGGCAACAGGACCCCCACCTACGAAGAACTGCCAGTGACACATGCTTGCTTTGGAGCTCGACCCTCGCTCAAACATCGGGGTCAGTACGTCGCATGAATCGGTCCGAATTGAACTTGAGTTTGGGTGTAAGGTGAGCCTGGCATGAAAAGGCCAAAAGGCTGCGTATGCTGGCCCTGCGCCATGCAGGGCAGTCGTTTCTTTTCCCGCGACAACCCCAGCGCTGAGGCCAAGCAGTGCTGGGCTGCCATCATGAAGGATGGCTACACGGGCCTCCTCAGTCTGGCATTCCAGATACTGGAGGCGCTACTTTTTCGTTTCTATAGGGTTAGCGGGCCATCACTTGACATCAGTATGGTCTCGTGTTTGGCAGTGTAGGGCTGTCACGCAAGCCCGGGTACAATTGAGTCTCTAGGGTGAGCTCGGCATCACATGCATGAGTCTGAATCTTATGTCAAAGACGTACACATACATCCTTGCCTGCAAGCATTGGGTCTGGCAGTGCAAGACAGTTGCACGTTGGACTCTTATGCCCCTTTGGAAGGTTGGCCAGCTCATGCTCTTGCGCTGCCACGATGTGGAGGCTCAAGTCGGGTGCGGCACAGGTTCTGCAGTGGAACTCATGAGCGGTTTGCGATGCGACTCATGATGCCTGCTGGGATGGGCCGAACACTGAACCCTGCTTGGTGTAGAGTCAGCTGCAGGTGAGTTGACATTCTGTCGAGTACGGAGCTTGTAAGGCTTGTAGGGCGTGCTGTGTCTGTATGTCAGTAGCGACACTCATGATAATGCAAACATCCGCAAAACTTTGGACAAGACCGCACATAAACACGGTGCGCAGATGAACTAAGGCATGGCTCCCACGTGAGTTCCTGTGCTTGAAGCATGGCAGTCCATGCCGGCTGTTTTGAGATGTTTTCCGAAGCGCCAGGCCATCATGAGGGCCTTCCAGGTCATCGAGCAGGCGCAGCTGTTGACCATAATCATCCCGAGTACCTGCACGCATTTACACGTTTAAGCTGGGAATAAGGACCACGCAGGGTTCCAGAGGCGTGGCGAGAGACAGGTGCGACAAGCAAAGAAGCCGTCTGAGAAAAGACCACCTAGCCCCGCGTATCCGCCCAATGAATACCTCGAAGCCTGAAACACACCGGGTGCAGGAGTTCTCGTTGCCTTCCACGGGCGTACAGGAGCTCCGAGATTTTTGGCTGCAGGGTGCGTTGGGGGTACTGTCGGAAGCTTTTGGCAAGGTTGCCGAAGGGTGTTATCACGATCCCAGAGTCCGAGAGGCATCAGGCTGTAGGCTGTGATGAGGCTCCGGCATCTTTCCGACCTTCCCGGCCGGCAGGCAGCGCAGCCGGTGCCTAACACGGGCGCCGCTGCTGAGCGCGCGTCGGCGTCGGCAGGCTCCCCGAGCTCGAGTCACACGTGCAGATTCACATGCTTTTTCCAGAACGTCTACTATAGCGTCCCCGTCGGGTCATTGTTGTTTGCTTCACGGAAGGGGTTGGTTCAAGGGTTTGTGGTTAAGGGTCTCAGGGTCGAGGGTTCAGTCAGGCTCAAGGGCAGAGGGCTTGAGGCTCCCTAAGTCGAAGCGCCCGTGTTGCAACAGGTACCTAAGAACAGCAATCTCATCTAGGGAAAAAACATCATGGGCAGAATCCTAAGCCTAACTCCGAACCCTGCCTGAATCCCGAAACCCAACTTACAACCCCCTTAACAGCCTTCACCTTAACTTCAGCCAAGAACCCTCTCATACAGCGAAGCCGTAGAGCCCTGGAAAGAGTTCGAAGGTTGACAGCTGTAGCACTGTAGCGAGGGACTGCCACCAAGCTGTTGATCTGCATGTTCGAGCAGTCCAAAACAAGTACGTGCAGAGCACTGCAGTTGAAGTTGCAGTTGACGTTGCAGAGTGGTTGAGAAAAACACCATTTGTCGAAGGCCTTGTACAGCTTCGCTTTCAGGCATCCTTTCGCCTGCGCAAGTCATGAGAGAAGCGGGCTGCAGGCTAAATCCGAATGTTCAAAAAAGGTGCACGCAGTCTACTGAAGTTGGACTACTCGGCAAATGACTGCAAAAGCAGCACACTGCGCTCAGCCTCCTCTCGGTCGGAAGCCGTTGCCACCGGCGGAATGGCACACGAATCTGGGCTTGGGGTTCGTCTTGCGGTATGGCACTGCCTAAAGGTAGGTTTGGGAAAAAGGGTCGTCCCTTTGCAATCTTCGTAAGAAACTCGTCCTCCCTAAAGTGTAAGGATTGGCGAAGAATCGGGCTCGAGAACGCATGGGTGGGCGAGTCCCTCTCCTGCACTATCTGTCAACGACAGCAGACTCGCCACAGAGGGTTGGCAGTCCGAGGCCACTGCGGAGGATTGCGTCACCCGATGCCTGACGCACATCACACGCTACACTCTGTATAGCAACCTCAAAGCCATCCCCAAAATCTCAAACACATCTGCCGAAACGGCTGTGGCTCTGACCTTCTGCCAAACTCCGTGAGCCACGGAGATCCAAGACATCACGGCCAGCAAATTTATCTACAGACGTAGGGCGCTGTGAACACGAAGCGTGCTGCAATTCTCCACCGCGTCGCATTGCAAGTTACAATTCTCGGGGCCTGAAACTAGGAACCGCAAAATGAAGGAGCGTACCAATGTTTCTGAAAGGCGACAGCTCTGCGGGACGTTGCGAGTACCTCTTTTCCAGGGTAGGACTATCATGCCAGCAAGCCAAGACGGTTCGGCCCAAGAATGACACTACCTGTGGGTATGGCACTCGGTCAAGCCAAGCCCAGCCAAATCAGGCCATGTTTGATCTTCTCCGCGGCCACAAATCAAACTGTTCTCCGAGCAGTCCTGCAATAGTGCAAAATCCTCAAGTAGGCGACGCAGCTGAGGATAAGCGCAGAGTGTGGGATCCAATTTCAACAGACTCTCGACAGAGCAGGTTACCTATTTCTCTCAAGTAGGTTGTGTTTGGGGGTTCTGGGTGTTGTGCAAAATTGAAAAGATGGTAAATGTAGATTCTTGTAGATGCTTCTCTCAAACTCTGCCACATTTGAAGCCTGTCACATCTTTGCCGGAGTTGTGACAAATTATCTTCGTAACATGTCGGAACATTTCGGCACAGGTGGATCACTGCAAAGCCGCGACACCTGCGGCCGTTTGCAGAATCTGGAGGTTACACTCATCTGTTCTGATGCTGCATGCTACAGCAATCTTGCGTGTGTGCAGGTAGCCTGGCTTGTCATCGAGGCTCGCCAGGCATCTGATGCGCCCACAATTGCACATGTGGTAAGAAAATAGTAAGAAAGTGGCGCGCAACGAATCGGTAACGAAAAGATGACTTGTGCCCGCAGTGCTGACTACCCCTTTTGTAACAGACGACAGAAGATTGAAACGTGTACACATGAGCAACAGCGGTCCGGGACCCAGAAAACATCTCAACTCCCCAGACAAAACATGAAATACTGAAATTTCAAATACCTAGAAACTTCGATACGTAAATGCTTCAAAAATCTTCTGAAAGAGACGTGTCAAATGAAGAATAACAACCCACGTCCCAAGAAAACATCTCCAACTGTTCGACCAGAACGCGAGAGGAACATGTTAACGCGAAGAAACGTTGCAAGCATCTCTGAAAGAAACGATAGAAGATAGAAGACTCGAAGGTGAACAACAGCCCGCGCTCCGAGAACACGGAACTTCAAAACCAGTGCAGCTTCGAAACACCTTGCCACGGGGCCTCAACCGAGCAAGGATCTCAACAAAAACACGTCAAGTCATCTTTGTCGCCGCGAGTCAGACAGAGCAAGATCCTGACTGCAAAGTAAGAGCGCGACACTGGGTTCAGGAGGTTTTCCAAGGGCTTCGGATCTGACACTGCGCTATGGAATCCCAGGGGCACCGAGCCATTAAACGGATATTGGGCTCTCGACCTTGTTACTGACGTCCATTGCCCGGCAAATGCTGACCTTTCGGCTATGGCGGCTATGGTAGGATTGTAGAAGAAAAAAACCCACATTGTTAAAGCACCCTGTCATTCTGAACCCTCAACCCACAGAGGCCAAAGCGCTTTGGGTCAGGAGCGCAGTCCGCAGCGAAAGCCCAAAAGAACAACCGAAGGTTACCGCTACTCAGCTGCCCTTCGACTAATGCGCTACGATGCTCCACGCAAGCCGCTGTCTCGCCGATCGCGGGAAGCAAGCTAGCACTTGGAAAATCATGCGCCCCACAGCGCCACGGGCTGCTTCCGTACCCTTTGCCAGAAGCAGAACCTTGGAAGACAGCAGGTAAGAATAGAGCAGTCACTTGTCATGCAACATGCCGATGTTATTAACGAATTCATTTGCCAGAAGCAAGCTTGTAGTTGGAATCATAGTCAGAAAGCCAGACGGACATGTGCAGTCTGTGAACAGAGGCAACGCTGAGTTGGACATCGTGCAAAACTCACAGTCAAAGCAACGCATCTGCATCAATGCGAGTGTCCGAATGCAAAACCAGTGCAACGACTGATTTTGCATCGCACTCGCATCCTCGCATCACCGAACAACAGCACAACGGCTCTGTGAGTCCATTCTGGAATGCCCGGTGCTGGCGGGGTAACCTGTTGCTGTCACCCTAGCACAGCTCGACCTCGACTGCTCGAAGTGACGCCCCATGCAAATGCTGCTAACCCTCACCATCGGCGTTGCAACTTGCACCGGCACTGGGACCACTGGTTGCCAAATCCTTGCCACGCAAAAACTTGGGGACGAGCAGAGACCTTGCAGCCACGGCTGCGGCTCTTTCACCTGGAGCGCAAGCCCGCTGGGCGTTGCCACGGGCATTTTTTGGGATTGGAATGTGGGGAGTGTACTGCGAGGTCATGGATGTCGGTCGAGCTGGCACTGCATGGGGTGTCTGCCGAGAAGGCACGTAGCTGCTTGGGCGGGAGGTGCCGACGCCAGTCATTGTCACGCTCGCGGGCTGCCGTGAAGGGGTTTCTACCAGCTTCTTTGACACGCCCGGGCGACGGCGATCAACGCTGTTCTTGCAGGAAGATTGGTGGCAGAGTGCTCGGGCGCCTTGCGACGCTGCCACCTTCACATCTCGACCCACCGCTTTCGGCAGGCTGATGTGGGTTGTCGGACTTGCGGCGCTGATGGAAAGGTTGATGGCTGAAGGCTCGCGTCGAGATCCAGTCGGGCGGCTTCTGCCGCTTGCCATGGGCCCTGGCCCTGTGCTCTTTCGTGGATGTTCTCCACGATGCAAGCTCTCGGTGCCGATGCTGGTCTCACACATGAGGGTGTCCTGCTGTTCCCTTGGCTGGCAAGTGGCCGCTGCTTGTCCAGAACGGCAGAGGCCGGCCGTCGACCATCTTTTTGGTACCCTGCACGAACACCCACAGCGGGGACTTGCTCGGCCAGATGCAGGAAGCACCGGATTTCGCGACGAGGCCTGACGGCTACTTGTAGGGCTGCCAGTTCCATGTTTCGTACTTTGGCCGCCCCGGGGTGTGCAGCCCTGGTGCTTTCCAATGCGAATCTTCGCCTCTGCCCTGGGTTCAGAACTCGGCGAAGTCGCGCTTGGTGATTTCGCCCTTGCAGGAGAGTCTTTGCTCTTCTGCCCATCCTGCTCTGCAGAGGACGATCTCCTGCCCTGTGGCTCGAACCTGGCCCTCAATCCGCGGAAACGGCTGCCTTCCTTTGGGAAGACCAACTCGAGGGAAGAATCGAGGCTGAAGGTGATTGTGCCAACTACCGACACCGGCACGACATCCAGGCAGTTGGGGCTGATGGCATAGACATGAATGTCAGGGCCACGAGCCACAGTAAGGACCAGCAACCCGCTGCTGTCTCTCACCAATGCAACCCCGCCCTTGAAATCGTCAGGGCGGTATCCTGGGTGTCGACGACCTGGCAAGTACTCCCCCACGATGGCGAAGCATGCTTTGGCTTCGTCCCGCTGCACCGCTTTCGAGTTCTTCAACCAGAGCTCGGCTCTGCATTCCGACAGCTGCGACGGACTTTCGTTCGTCTGACGGACGTCCAGTGGTTTCTGGGGATCCTGCTTGCATCCCCCAGCAGCTGCTGCCGCAGCAACCCGCCATAAACGGTCCAGTCGCCAGATCACCGTTGTGTCAAGCGAGTGCGTGACGAGGAAGTGCGCGCAGCCGAAGAAACCTGATGCGGAGTGCCCATGCTCCCGCATCCAGCACTGGCACTGCTTGGAAGGCTCCATAGAAGTTTGTAAGATTCCACCACTTTAAATGGGTTGTTCATGCAATCCGTGAACTGCGATAGAGTCATTGCTCCCTCGCACCCAGATCTGCAGTCGCCAGGGAACCGGAGTCATGTTGAAGTGCTTGTCGTCAGTCAGCTCGGGGTCATCATAGCAGCCATAGCAATGGACTAGAATGTCCTCTTGGCTGAACGTGCAAGACGGCTTATGGTCTTCGTTCCCCTCGAGCGCATCTTCAGGGATTGTACGTAAAGTCGGACAAAAAGGCTGGATGGGGAGCGTGAAAGACTCCGTGAGAGTGCTCCAGTTCTCGATGCCCCTTTTGAATGGGCTCATGTCGTCATCAACTTCTTCTTCCTGTGCTTCATCTTCATGAACAGCCACCACAGGTTCACCAAGGATCTCACTCCTGGCCTTCTCGCGGCGATGCACCGTCGCGGTCGCGGGGTCCATGGAATGCTTCTGGCACCACTCAGAAGCCTCTGTCAGGCCGGAGCTTTGGCGACTGCCCATCAGCACCGGCAATGGCGGGCTGACCTCTGGCCGGATAAGAGAGCAGTGCTTCGCCATTGCAGGCCCTGCGAGAAACAATCAGAGGTATAGAGATGCCAACACCTGCCGAAGCAATTATGTGCTTGAGCTCAAAACGCTGTTTGTCGGAGTCTTGCACAATAGTGGCAATCTCCCCCGCCTTTGCTCGGAGAGATATGAACCTCTTAGTTGCCAGTACGTCGCTGAGGGCGACGTAGCCATCCTCCTGCATGTGGACTCCTGCTTTTCTGGCCCGATGTCGCAAAATGCTCGTGAGTGCCTTCGAGATCTGGACCTGTCGCCCAGTCGGGGCCGGTTTGCGGCTGTCCTGACTGGCCGCGGACGCAGCTCCTGTGACTTCCTGATGAGGGGCCGGTTGTTCGTCCGAGTCCGGACTTTCCGGCTCCGTCTCCAGCTGCCCGTCCTCCACCATGGCAGGTGTTGTAGAGGGAGACCTTCAAGTTCCAGTGTAGGAAGGCAACGCACGTGCTCAGTGTGCTTAGCGGGGCCGCTGCTTGTGGACCTCTTGGTTGATTTGGCACGACGCGGCGGGCATGACTTGCTTCCCCGGGGGCAGTCAAGCAAGCTGGCTGCTGGAGCTTTGCTCGTTGCGTTGCCGAGCTCTGCCAGTTGTGCCAGAACGTCAAGGCAGCAGTTCAGCAGATTGTAGAGAATTGGGCTTTGGCGCATGGGCTGGCACAGTTTGTGAATTATTTTTGCCAGTCTCACGAACTTCTGTTGCGTTGCCAGAAGACTGGTATCTGTACGCGCCAACGTGATCCAGGCCTCGATAAATCTGCCAGCTTTGAGCTCATTCGAGTGAATGGTGGCGACGTGTGGGGCCATGAGAACGGCCGTGAGAGCCAGGATGTAGTTGCCCACCTCCAATTCGCTTGCCTGGTGGAATGTGTTGTGAGCCTGGGTGAAGTGGCCCTCAGCAAAGTACCCGATGAGGTGCGAGGGAGCATCAGCCATCTGAAGCTGTTCGATCAGGTCGAGTATGGTCGGCAGTGTCTCGCGAGCCTCTTGAGCCACCATCGGTATTATAAAACCGTCCATGCGCCTGCAGGGCAGGTCTGCTATCCTGACAGCCACCTCTTGCTGCTGTTCGGCCTCCTCAACGGGGGCCGTGTCCAGTGTCTCCACCATTGCCAGGGCGTCTTCGGCTGGCTCAGAGTTGGAGCTGGCTACAGCCATCTCCACTTCCACCTCCAGAGTTAGAGCTGGCAGCCTCCATCTCCACTTCCACCTCCACGATTGGCTGCCCTGTGCCATCATCTGCTGCTCCTCTAGCGACGGCTCCCCTGTGGGGGCCGTGGGAGGAGGTACAGGATGCCAGGTGCGACTTTGCAGCAGGTTGCGTGGCGTTCTTCGCTAGAGCATTGCATGCAGAGTGAGTGGCACGACTGCAATGCTGACATGAGAAGCATGGAGGACTCTGAACGCTGCAATCGATTTCAGGGCTCCAGTGAGGCGCTGACCAACATTGAATCCCGGAGTATCGTGACAATGATGGCAGTCTGACCTCAGAGCTGAGCAGAGAAAGCAGTCGAGTAGTGAGGAGTGGGAGGCATGTCCATGAGGATGTTCTCAATCTACGCGCAACTTCCAGGTATTTGGGATTGTGCTGGGGGTCTGCTGAGAAGAGTGCACGAGAGCCAGTGATGTGATGTACATCGGCGATGTGGAGGAGTGACTGGTTCTGAGGTCGCAGCTGCATCTGTTTTGCGATTTCCCTGCAGGGCATGCTGCCAGCTGGGTCATGGCTCACTGAGATGGGGCCGAGGACGGCTCCCAAGTGTCTGGTCGGCCTGACCCTCCAAGGAGTCACATATGGCCAGAAGGTCGGCATCCTTGCGCTTGCGCTGCCTAGATGGCAGAGAGCGAACCTGTCGTATAAGGCCTTGTATGATGGCGCCACACGTGCCGACAGAGATTGCATGTGCAAGTGCTGCTCCTGACACCCCGATTCCCTTACCTGGTGCTTCCCTGATCGGTGCGTCATCCGTGGACAGTGAGTCATCTGTTCCTGGACCTTGCTCAGGGCTTGACTCCGAAGTGATGCGTCGTCTCCTCCAGGTGCTGCTGGGCCTGTGTGATGCGGGCACGGCTGATCTGTGGCACTCAATTGCCAGCTTGTCGGACCATCCCTCCGATTCGCTCCATTCCAGCAGGGCATCGGCTCCCCTGGGCGGGGGCCGTGGCTGAGACACATCCACTGCTGGTTGCTCTGAACCTGGTGCAATGCTGGTTGATATCTCAGGGACGTGTAGGTTTGACAATGCTGTGGCTTCGTTACGGTACGAAGAGTCCTCTGATTCGCTCCATTCAAGCAGACCTGCAGCAGTCCTTGGCACTGAGCTAATCGGCGGCTCAGTGTGAACCCCTTGGGCGGGTCCTGATGAGCTGGCACTGTGTACCTCAGGAATATAAGTGCAGGGCAGCACAGGTAAGGGGTGTCGACCTCTCGGTTCGGACGCTCTGATTCCTGCATGATTGATGCTCGCCCGTGATGCGGCTCCCTGTGGGGCCGATGAGCTGCCTGCATACGACTTGGATCACGACATTGACGGAGCCGATGATCCATCTGCATGCATGAGCAAGGAAAATGCAAAGCCAACTCGTCATGAAGCGTCTGAACATCATGCTGAATGGCAAAGGTCAATGAGCTGCACACGCAAACAACTTTCAACTGCAGTCTGAAGAGTAGGAAAGTTGCAAGAGATGAAGCTGATCAGCCTCAGGCCTTCGCTCCTCGGCAACACCTCGAGGATGGCCTGTATTAGTTCCACTGCTGTGGCCTGTGTCCACAAACGGCTAGCCAGCTCAAGAACAACCAATCTGTCTGCCTCACAAGTGTTGTCAATCACAAAATCAGCAACAAGGTCTAATGCAAAAATGCGGATGTGAGTAACAGGCGAAATGGTTGCGGAGATTGAGGAGCACGGGCGGCTATGGCTTGCTAAGCTACTGCTCTTCGCCCACGAGTGGACGGAACTGCACACTACCCCCTCCCCTACTCCCTCCAAGGCACGAACGAACAAAACCAGGAAAACACAGCCCACACAAAACCAGTGCCAAGGAGGGGCCCACCGCTACCTGACAAAAACTACTGCACCGCTTTTCGTGCGATTTGAGCCACGGGTGCTTGCTTGGCCCATCTCCAGCCAATGGACTCCGCAACTCTCTCGAGCAGAACTGTTCGCTTCAGGCCAAGGACCTTGCGGACGTTGGGGTGCATCTTCGCCCGCGTCAAGTCTTCCTCAAGTTTCAGTTCGGCGGCCCACTGTCGCCAGGTGGCAAGCCTCTGCAGCCTCACTTTCGCCAGCTCCAACGGAGAAAATGTCAGCTGCTCATCAAGAGACCGCAGGCACGGCAGCACATATGACACGACATGATTGTACTCGGACACGACTTGCGGGTGAAGGCGTCCTCGCTGCTGCTTCATGGCACGTGCTGCCAAGGGTTTGGAACTACCCACCTTCATGCCACGCTCAACCAAGGAAGCCTCGACTACATCGCAGATGGCTTCGCACATCAGGGGACGCAGCCTCCTCGCGCGTGCGGAAGGAGTTGTCCGTGTCATTGCGACCCCAAGGCTCATGGCTTGCACACCCCGGACACATCCTAGCTAGCTGACCCACTCCCTCAAGGCTAGAAAGAAAACTGGTCTTCTTGTCACGCGAGCTCCCGAATGCACAAGCCTGACAATGCGCAAAGCGACCCAACGCCAAGGCTCTTCCGAAGCAAGGGAGCTCCCATAACCAACTAACTATTGGTCGGGTTTTCAATGCACCACGGCACGCCCAGCTTGTCACACACGTCGACGCACTTCGCGAGCACGCGGTGCACTGCATTGCTGGCATCAAGCTTGACACGGTCGACGCCTACAACCCAAGGCGTGCCCCACGGATGCTCGACACTGCGAAGGGTTGGTGGTCCAGGGCTCCCGCCTGGCAACGGTATGCCCCTGGCTTTGCTGCAAGTCCTGCACGGCGGCGCCATGTGCACGACACATACTTGAGAACATCCCACGCGTGCTGGGTCGCCAGGTCCAAGGTGAAGACCACCATCTTGCGGGAGTCCATCTAAGAGACTTGAACACTCACGAATCGGTTCAGAAACACCGGTACCAGGCTGGTGAACTCTGGCATCAACGGCATTGGCAGAGCGCCGATGATTTTCATGGAATGTCTGACGGGCGACTTCTGGTTGCCCCTTCCCACGCAACTCTGCATGGAGTTGCGGCGTCAGATCGTGAGCTTCGTCGCCATCTGACGAGCATTGCACTTTTTCATAGCCTTGGGCGCAAGGCGATCCCTCACACATGGAGTTGTGGCGGCAGACCGTGAGCTTCGCCACCGTCTGCCAAGCATTGCGCATGGGCACCATCACACAACTCGGCATGGAGCTGCGGCGCCAGATGGTGGGCTTCGCCACCGTCTGCCAAGCATTGCACGTGGGCACCATCACACAACTCTGCATGGAGCTGCGGCGCCAAATGGTGGGCTTCGCCACCGTCTGACACGCGTGACACATTTGCGCGAACACTTTCGCGACCCCCACTGTGAGGAACGAGCGTCGGCACGGCGCACGCGTGAGACTGCGGTTCCAGATGGCTCACACCCTCGCCGTCCGCCCCACACGCTGCATCCGTACGCTTGAATAACGCTCCCCCTACGCCGGGCGATAGTCACTCATGCTTGCCCTAGCATTGGCAAGGTTGCAATCCAGCGCTGCATGGGCCTTATGACATCCCTTCACGGCACACAGATGCAAGCCCTTCGCGCAACGCTGGCTTTGGACATGCAAAGTGCACTTCTTGAGGCTGTAGTCATAACACAAGCGATGGTTCTTGGGCATGCGTGACACACACCCAAGCGCAAGCAATTCGGCTGGTACACGACCAGCACCATCACCCTTGCCATGGAGCTGGGCCTTGCCTTGACCCTTGCCACCTTTGCCTTTATCGGGGTCGCGTCGCAGGCGCTTGAGAGGTGGCTCTGCGGTTTCATCACCACCTACTGCAAGGGGCTTATGCTGCAAGATCGACAAAAACTCGGAACTGGTGAGACATGACTGGAAAGCAACATCGCACGGACGGCCCCCAGCTGACATCTTGATTCCAGAGCGAGACACTCTAGCAAAACCCGGTGGTGGATCCTGCAAACGACACTGGAAAAGTTTCTCGACAAGCAGATCATGTTTCTCATAGGACATAACATTGGCTTGCTCTAGGGCGAGCCCTCTGCGCACAAGAGAGTACCGCACCAACATGTCGGTACTGACATCGCACGGGGACGCACGCTGCTTGTTCGTGAGCTTCAGTGCCCCGGAAGCATCAAAACTGAGGCCTGTGTCCTTCTTCAAGCCTGTCGCAAGCTCATGCTCACGCGAGACGCAAGTGCTCCACTCCTGAGGCAACGCACTTGTCTACCAGGGAGTCTCCTGGCTCGTAAGCACGCCTGAGCCGCAAGCCTTGCAGTCGAGCCTGCTGGTCTTTCAGGCGCTGAGCTCTGTCTGCCGGCGCCAGCTTCTTGACAGCTGACTCATCAGACGCCTCGACGTGCGACTTTATGTCCGCGCCAACAGTTGCGTAAGACTCTGCAAAGAGTCTACGCATACACGCCATTTCCTTGGCGCTTGGCTCCCCTCCTAGCACCTCTTTGACTAAGTCGAGCAGCGGCTTCTCGTCTGTCCCTCCAGGTGAGAAGTTGCACGCAAACGCAAAAATTGCCATGGTATTCAATCCCTTGGCATCCAACTTGCAGCCCAATTTCCAAGGCTCGCGCCTTGAAAACTGCAACGCTGTCACCAAATGTCATTCTTGCGCGGTGGGGAAGCTACTGCAAACGCAACTAAATGTGAATGAAAAACGACTGCGTCATTACGCAGACTGATTTACATCTGCAGACAGCAACCCGCACTTGCACTGTTAACACTGCACAATACCAATAGCGGCCTAGCGCTTCCCTCGGCCGTGTAAAGTGGAGGTCGCCTTGTTCTCCAGCGCGTCACTGACGCTCTCAACAATTCCGCCAGTGGCAAAACGAAGCTCATATTTGCTATACATCTGTCTCGCTATCTCCCACGCCGCAGGCTCCATTGCAACAAGTGTGAGCCACTTCTTGATAGCACACTGCCTTTCATATGACGCAGTCTGTTGTCTGATGGACTCGTCTCGGGCCTTCAGTGGCCGCACACCTGCGACTTTGAAGCACTCCTGGGTAAAGGCAGCGTCACTGCTGTCTGTACTTAACGATGCCAGCGGGCGGTTTGCGGGCATGGGCGGCATCAAACCTTGCGGCACCATGATCGTTCGGGCGCGCTTGCTTACCTCCCATGGCATAGAGTCAAGAGTCGGAAGCACGCACGCATGGGGTTTGGCCAGCGTGAGCCACGCATGCTTGGCGTGTGCTGCCACAGCACTACGTGGAACGTCGTCGCCAGGCTTCGACAAGGCCATGGCTCAAAACTTTCTTTCTGGCAGCGTTCCACACTTAGATAGAAACAAGCTGTTGTAGCACTCGCATTATGTACAAACTGCACAGCACACATGCTTTTGGCTCGCACACTTGAGCCTCGAAACGAGCACGCATCACGCTCATGAGGACTGCTCCCGCGCACTCAGGATGTCTGCTCAATTCCACAAATTTCACAGACTGCCGACTGCCTCATAAATCGCTATTAGTTTGCAAGCTCATGTAAACGGGCTTCTTGTGCCTCCTAAAACTCGGCACGGGCTGGGTTTTCTTTGATATATAGTACAAGTTTAGTACTGCAATCGCGGTTTCGGTGAGCTGGCTGGATTGATCTGGATTAGCAACATAAACTGCAGCACCCCCGGCTCCGTACTCGGTCTGCGGCGCGGCAGAAAAGTTAAACGACGAGGAGGGTTCTCAGGTTGACCTTGTGATTTGGCACTAAATCGATTAACGCTAGAATATCGAGAGTAAAAGAAAGGAAGCATCAACTTGTTGCCAGCCCCTTGTGTTAAACTGCTGCTGAATGTGGCTCCTTGCAAGCCAGCGCGGCAACACGTACGATCGGCACAATATGTGCACGTTTCTTGTCTCAGAGACCTAATTCACTGCAGTTAGAAGAGCCTGCATACCCGAGCTTCGGTTACAGCAACTGCAAAGATTGCGTGCCCGGTTTGTTGTGGAGACAACAAATTAGTCTTCGTGTTCGCCTGGTTCTCGACCGTGTAACACCACACCTGGCGAAGAACCTTGCAAAATCATGACGGCAGCCTTTTAGTGATACATAAACGGGTTCAAGACCTTGGATTCCACAGATATGTAGTGTATGTATTGAAACAGCATGAAACAGCTCACCCATCTACATCATAGCAAATCGCGCTGTGGGACAAAAGTAGTTCTGGCAGTCAGATGCTTTCCCCCTGCCCTGTGGGCAATTCAGCATTCAGCACTTTAATGCTTGTCAATTAGCAAGTTTACCCTTCCTACACTAACGTTTTTTGCCCCGCTTGCCCCACTGGGAGATAAGCGCTCCAAATCAGCATAGCGAGGGTTGCCCACTCGTTCACGCGGTGGGTTGGGAGGAGGGGGGGGGAGGTGGAGGTGGGGGGGGGGGGGGGGGGGGGGGGGGGGGGGGGGGGGGGGGGGGGGGGGGGGGGGGGGGGGGGGGGGGGATGAGGGGAGGGTGACCGGCAAGGCAAGTCGGGCAAGTGGGACATATCGGTTTCCGACCGGAGGCAGAAATCAGTTCGAAAATGGTGCTCGCAATGAACCTTTGCGCTTTTCCCAGACTTCCAGACGGTCCGGAAGGATTTTGTACAGCGAAAACTGTTCGCTTAAACAAGGACTCAGCCCACTGTGACTGTGGATGTTGGGGGATGTTGATTTTGGACCTTATTGGAATGCCCTATAGAAACCTCATTAGGCGTCCTGATGGAAAACCTTATTTGAAGAAACCCTACCTACTAGAAAACTTCGCGAGAACCCTGGAAAACCCTATGGAAACCTTTGCAGAAAGTCATGATAAACCTGTGGAAATCGTACTAGAACTTACCTGCAGCAAGTGTACTTCGCCTGACATTTGCCGAGCGCGTAGCTTTGGCGAGATCGCCCCAGGTCACCGCACGATGCTCTGCCTGCGCATGTCAGCTTACGTTGTTACACACTTGATTCAAACAACGCAAACGACAGCAAACGAGCCTGAATGCCAGCTGGGCAGGAATGGCAGAGGGAAGCGAACACCTATCCACTTGTTGAATTTGTCGTTGTATTTGCAATCCGGGATTGCGCGCCGGGACAAGCTCGAACTTGTCCGTGATGGCAATCGTGAAACGAAAACGCGCCGCTGCCTTTATGGCCTGATCCATCGTAAGTCAGTTCTGTCTCATCATAGCAAGCTCTGATCCAACTCGCTACGTTGACCTCATCGGTCAAGATAGGCTCATCAGCATTTTGGAAGCCTGACAAGGCTTCTCTGCCCCTCTAGCACTGCCACGCGCTGACAGAATCCGGGCGAAGCCCTCCCTGCAATCCGGAGCCCAGGATGGAGGCTGGCGCTCTGGGCAGCCTAGCCTATGCTTCTGCACGAGGCACCCGTCTCGCAACCCTGCCCCCTGCCCACCTTCATCAGCGGACGACCAAAACGAAATGCGGGGTGTTTATTGAAGGTTGCGTGCAATGTTTTGTATGCTTGGCGCCACCGAGCTGTAACCCACAAACGACCGGCGCACGAACTTGAGGGGCAAACCCAGATAACGAGAGCTAGCCAGGGTTGGAGCGCAGAAGTCAGCAGGAGCGGGGAGGGTTGAGCAACCATCAGGCACCATGTCAATACTGCCACAACCATGCAAGAGTATAGAATCACAATGAGCAAGGAGATTTGATGCAACAATCCAGCATCATGCGATGCAAACCACAACCATGTTACAGAACTAACTCGGAAAACAACTGCGATTCACACTATGACCTCGCAAGGCTGCTGACTTTCGACGACCGTGAAAAACTAACCGCTGGATTCCACTTGCCCCACGCGCTGCACTGGCCGCAGTTGCCGCACTCCTCACCATACCATAGGGGCCCAAAACACTTGCCAAAAAAACCTGCGCTTTCGTTTGGCCTTGCGGATGGACGGGGATGGTATGATGTGGACTGGACTTGCCACGTGGAATCAACTGGTCAAAAAACGCCGAGGCCATCAACGCCATGGCATCTTGGCCCTCGAGATGCCCTGCTGCCCTAACAAAAGCGAACCCTGGCATAAGTCCAACACCAGCAACACCGGTCACTCAAACAGAATCTTCGACGGTCGCTGCGCATAGAGTGTGTGTGATGGACAGTGCAGTCATGAAGTAATAGAGGCGCATTTGTTCGTGCTCTGAAAAAAGGCATCCTGCGGTTGGGCTTGAGGCTCGCACGCGCAATCTCGTCTGCGGTGAAAGGCTGCACATCTGAACAGGGGACAATCTCGGCCACATCCTTGCATTTGGCAAAAAATCATTCGAAGCTTGCCTTTGTCCTGCGCCACGACAACTCTGTGAAGGAATTTCTCCTGACAAAGTGCCAGAATGGTCGCGAGCAAACAAAATTTGCACTTAAAGCTATGAGGCCCCAAGTTGACATCCCTCGTGAGCTCCTTTTTCTTTCGGGGCTTGCTGCTGGGCGAGTCGCGGCGCCGCTTTGCTTTTCCCATGATCCCATGCAGCTTTGAGCCCAGATATGCATGACTCTTCTGCGCAGTGCTGTTGGCTCCGACGTCTGGGCTGCCAATTCCAAGCTATTCCAAGATCACGCATGATTTGTTTGTCCGCTCCCTTTGAAATTGACGACGTCATTCCTTCCTTATTGTTCTGAGGGCACAAGTCATTTGAGATGCGATAAGAAAATTGTCAACGTGAACGCCTGCAATCCCAACAATAATGCCATGCGTGGCAAGGCGTTTCAGGGTTTAGGGTTTAGGGTTTAGGGTTTAGGGTTTTTGGTTGAGGGTTATGGCTACCCCATTTCCCTCCAGGGTCCCTGTTCTCGTGGACAGGAGGAAGCACAAAGCTCCCACAAAGTACTTCGATCCGTAGCCCTTTGGCTCAAGGCCACGTCTGCTCGAGGTGGTTAAGCCACCAGGAAAGCCGTAGGAGGGGTGGGAGTCCGTATTGCTTGGAACCCTACTCGTAGGTAGCGGCCCCCTCTGGGACAGCCCGGAGGCGTAGGTGTGCTTGGTTCTGTGTTTGCTTTGTAGCTGGGGCCTTAGCATTGCGCAGTTCCTTGCCAGCGCCCGCTTGCAAGAAGAATCCATTGTACATCTCTGGATTGCAAGCTGCATTGCAACCAGTTCTGCAACCACTTTTGCCTGAAGCTTTGAGACATTAACTGCGCCCGCAGTTGATCATTAGGTTGCTAAGTAAGCCAAGGCTCGCTTGCCTGTATAACTGTTTGGAACGCCCGTTTCCAACCATAGCTTTCTTAGTCTTCTTAAAGCTTTCTGAGGCTTGTTTTGTCCATTTAACCGTTGGGAACGCCCGTTTCCTTCCGCAAGTACCTAGTTTCTTAGGGTTTCTTGCGCACTTGTGCATTACGGATAGCTTCGGCGTAAGGTATTTGCACTTTGTCGCTAGGACGAATTAGGTTGATTGATGGCCGTGCGTTCTCTGTGGCTGACGGCTCCTTAGCATTGCGCAGTTCCTTCCCAGCGCCCGCTTGCAAGAAGAATCCATTGTAACAACTGTGGATTGCTGGGGGGGATGCAGCCCTGCATCCCTCTCCTGGCCAGCATAGCTCGGATGGCAGCAAGTGGCACAGCGGGGGAATTTTTGATTTTCCAGTTTGGGAGCCTTTGTTCGGAGCCGGCTTTGTGGTGCATGTGAAGACGCGAGCATGTTTTTGCCGCTGCATGAGTTTTGAACTTGAAGTTGTACAGACCTGTTGGCTCCCGTGCTGTTGCAAGAAGAGCTCCGGCTTTCTTACGACTTGCCTCTGCAAACGCAATAACAAGCATTATTCTGTAACTCGAGTCCTTTCGATCTTCTGTTGGATAGCTCCGGCGTAAGAGCAGTTGGTCGTTTGATATTTGGGTTAGTTAGGCCCCCTGGGCCAGCATGAATTCAGTTCTGTGTAAGACCAATGTTTACCTGGTGAACGCCGCGCGTCATTCCAGAATGACCTTGACTGCTTTCGTCAGGCCCGCCGGCTGATAGAGCGCTAAGACGTTGCTCGCGTTGGTTCGCTGTCGTGGACGGGGCGAGGTGGGTGTTTGCTTGCTTGTGCGCTTCCCTCGGTTAGTAAGAGCGAGAACGCCGAGGAAGTGCTTTGCGCATAGCACGGGCCTTTGTTTGCTAGTAAGAGCGAGAACGCAGCAAAGGTTTATGCCCGATGCATCCAGTTCGCGTGCGGTGGCTGTGCTGCTTGCTGTGTGGCTATATCAGCCATTGCATGTGTGAGGGCTGTGCTGCTCACTGTGTGTGGCTTACCAGCCCTTTGCCTATTGATGCGAATA